TTTTCTTTCTTTACTTCTTCCTCAGATAAGTTCGCTCTTTGCAAATTTTACAAAAAAAAAATGCACCATCTGTGGGCAACGCTGCACAAAGTCGTAGCGCGATAGGTTAAGAAACCGAATTTTCCGGTCGATTTAAAGAGCCTACCGTCTCCTTGTTTCACCCTGTAGTTTTGACTCTTGCACCGGATCAATATCGAAATCTTTTTCAACGAAAAGGCGGTTCAGCTGACAATGCTTGCGCCTTGCGTTTAAACCTTGTACGCTCAGAGTGCCGACACGCAAGGACCTTTCGAGGATCATAAGAAATTAGAGGGAGGCCAGACGAAAGCTACCGGGCTTCCTCACTTCTCACTTCCTCGGCTCGTGTTTCCGAGTTGGAGGCACAAACTGAGGCTTGTGCCGTCCTATTTTCTCTTTTTCACCGTGCCATTCCCGTTCGAAGCGCATCGGCAGAGACAGTGTCGTCCAGGCGACGCTTTTTCCCCGTAGTGTCGACTTTCATGCTCTTGGGGACCTTTTCTTGCTTGGAGACTGCAGGATCTCGGCGCTTATCCGTTCCCTCGGGGTCCCTTGGAGTGCCCCTTAGTGTCGTGGGATCTTGGATCCGCTCGGGAGTAGCCTTTGGGGACGGTTGTGCAGGAGACGCTTCCGGCAGCGCCTTGCTTAAAATCCCGTTGTCGATAGCTGCCTGGCTGGGCTCTAGCCGCACTGGCGGTGTCACCGGTGCTCCGGCTCGGTTCATCTCGTCTTCGTCTAATATCAACTCGGACATTTCCGGCCCGGTGTCGCTGCCAGTGACGCGAGCGTACATCTTGACACAGTCCCTTTTTTCGTGCCCGAAACCTTGGCACTCAGAGCATTAGGGCACCCTACAGTCGCTCCGAAAGTGACCCGTGCGCCGCAACGGAGGCAGATGGGCGAGCGCCCGGGGACCACCACCGGAACTGAGCCGCCAGAGAAACGGAGCTGGTGAAGCAACTTTTCCAGCCATTGGCGGAGGGTCAAGGCGACAGTCAGCGTCGTAGATTCAACGCCGACGAGCCCGTCAAGCTTTCGAACCTCCCGGACGACGTCCCTCAACCCGTCGAACGGCTCGAAGGCGCGACAGACGGTGTAAGGGTACGTCGAAGGTAACCCAGGGAAGTTTCACCTTGATATCCCGCCGGTATATGGGCCGATCACTAGGCGGCTCCGACTTTTGACCGGAAGTTCACTCGAATGAAGCAGCTTCCTCTTGACCTCCGAAATATTCATCTTGGCGAGCCAGACATGACCCATCTGATACACCCCCAGACCGGTCAAGTCTTGCAGCACCCCACCTGGGTTAAAGGAGTCACGAAATCTTTTGCCTTGTAAGGCCGTGCACCGGTGTCACAATGCAGCACCTACGCTGTTCTTCATTATTTCCCCTGTTGAAAGCGTCGCCAAAACAAAAGAGTCATCCCGGGCGGCATTGCCCTTATCCGAATTACCCCGGCCAAGGCCGGTTGTTATCGCCGCTCCTGACGAGCGATCCATCGCACGCCCGCTCTGCTTGGCAGCCGGAAGTGGACCCCATCGGCCACGCGCTCGCTGGGCAACACGCGCGGCAATATTAATTGAAAAATACATTCCATCAAGGAAGAAACGATGCAACAGAAACTCACGCTAACGCTAATCTGAGGCGTCTGCTAACTAAAAAAAAGTAATTTTCGCAGCTGCCAAACGATCATCCACTCATGCACGATGGACAGCGTACCAAACTGCAGATCTGAAATACACAGGAGGTCTTACGGAAACTAAGTCACATTTTATAATCATGCACTAAATAGCATGTTAGCAACTAATCGTAAAAAATTGTGGAATGTCGTTAATTTCAAAGATCAGTCTAACATTGGTCTTCAGTCATCTCATGGCATAGATATTCCAGCAACTGAAAGTGCAATTGTATTATATTATGTTTTTATTATGTCGTGTACAACCCCTAATGTTAACCAAGTACCGGTATTGTCGTTTCCTGCTTTTTTGTCTATGAGCTCAGTAGCAGTTGCCGTGATTGGTGTGGCTGGCATTATTAAAAAATATCAAGCTTTCATCATGCGCTCGAATAGATGGGATGCATAGTAAGTTTTTTTTAAAAATTGTAGTATGCATTGTTCAATAATTCTCTCAAAACTCTATATGTAGTCTTTTATTTATTGCGCAGTCCTAAGTGATTGGGTGGTTTGGAAGGGGGCCCTTTACACAAATCTGGAAAAAAACAAAACCCATCTAAATATCGACCAACATCTTTAACAAGTCTGCCATGTAAAATATTAGTACACGTCATTTATTCGCAGTTTTGTAAATTATCTTGAACCTAACGACTCCACAAGTCCACAACGAGGCTTTAAAACCATTTAATGTGAGACGCAGTTACCCCTTCACGCATGATCTCCACCATTTTCTTGCTAATAATTATGAAACTGATCTTGTATGTTACGATTTTTCAAAAGCCTTTTACGAAGTTTTCCATAAGTTCCTTCTTCATAAATGACAATCACGTAGCATTGATTTCTGTATTATAAATTGGATTCATGCCTTTTTAACTAACCAACTACATTTCGTTACTGCTAAGAATATGAATTATTGTACTGTTCCAGTCACCTCACGTGCCCCACAGGGCTCAGCGCTTGGACGCTCTTCTTTCATATTTACATGAATGACTTGGTGCAGAACTTTTTTTTTTATGTTAGCCTCTCCGCTGACGATTGCGTAATATACCGGAATACGAAAGACATATCTGAGACTATTCTGCTACAATCTGACCTTAATAATATATCACTGTGGAGTAACCAGTGGTTAACAAAACCAAACACTGACAAATGTAAATTGCTGAAAGTGTCACGCGCTCAAACGGTGTATCATACTATCATCTTGTCAGTAATCCTCTCGCTTCAAAGTCTGTTTACAAATATCTTGGTGTTCATTTAACGTGTAACCTTTCTTGGAAGGTGCATATTAAATACATATCTAACAGTGCCAACCGTATGCTAGGACATTTAAAAATAAATTTCCTTCTGCTTCTATCTTCCGTTAAAGTTTACAAAACCATAATCAGTCCAAAATTAGAATATGCTGCTGCTGTGTGGGACCCCTCACACTCTTCACTAATTGTTCTTATTGAATTCATTATAAACCCCTCAGCTTGTTTCATATCGACTATTATTGCACTGCCAGCGTTTCTGCCATGAAAAAACACTTTAGGTTTGCCGTTACTAATTCACCGCAGAAAAATCACTCGTTTGTGTCTTTTTCATAAAATATATAATCAAAATATCACCGTTCGTTATAAACTAATTACTCCACCACTCTACATACCGGCTAACATAGATCATGTCCATGAGGTTGGTATTCCAAATTGTAGGACTTCACAATTTCAAGAGTATTTCGTGCCTCAAACATCGATAGACTGGAACTACCTTCCCACCTTCATGCCAACATCACTGATATTGTTTTGTTTAAACGTGCTATTATTAATATATGCACTTTAAGGTTAATATTTTACAGCTCTCTCCCATCTTTGATGTAATTACCTTGAGGGTATTTGAAACAAATAAATAAATAAAAATAATATAAATAAACACAGCGTAACAAATCATAACGCACACAAAATGCACCCACGGCACAGCTTATAGTGGTCCCCCGGTCATAGTGGTCCAATGGTTTATCAGATTAATAAAGAATGGGCCTGTTTTGTTTTTTTACTTTGAACGGTATTATTAGACTTTATTGCTGGATTCGACGCCAGTTGTTGACAAATTTGAAGCAAAATGGCAGGCACCTAATACCAAACTACGATCAAAAGCCCATAGAAAAAAGGATGCCTCCTCTTTTTGCTTTAGGGCACAGTATATCAGGCTTTTACATCATTAAACGATATATCTTTCAATGACAGAAATAGAAAAATAACTAATGTAGCAGCAGCACATATATGCACCAAGAGTTTGTTCCGCGATTTTCGTTATAACAATTTTACAGTGCTGATCTTCGCTGCGTTACTATCGAGGATATGGCGATTTTAGCCAGGAAGGAGCTGCGAATTTGTTTTTCTGAACTTGGGTATGTCACTTTTACTTGAGACAGTAAAAAATGACATACAGGGCGAATCTCATTCTTTAACAATGACTATAATTATCACGCGTACCACAAGTAAAACATACTGCTCGCCACAACAAAGATTCTGATGGTGTTTGTTGATGACGCTCAAGGCCGCTGGTGTTAGCACTGTGACAAAATTTACAGGCAAAACAAACATTTGTGTAGCAGGGACCCAGGTGTAAAAATTCTCCGTAGATCGGAGGAACTCAAATAGCAATTTTTTAAGATAAGCTCTTAAAGTTTTAGAATGAACTTTCAGCTTCTGAACTAGAACAATCTTCGGATTTTCCGAATGTTTGCCACTTGAACTTTGATGGTATAGGAAACCGTCGAACACGAACTTTCTAAAACTTCGAAGCTGCCTGCTTCGCGTATTTGTACGTCTGAGGGATTCGAAAGTTAAAACATTTCGAACTGGAACCTTTTCTTTTTGGTGACAATTCCAGATATTTTCAGGTTCTGTCGTACTGGGTACGGGCTTCCAGCACGAAAGTTCCAAGATAAACGCAATGCCACGTGACGGGAGTATAGCAACCGGCGCAGCAGTGACAACCAATTCCGACATATGGCCTTAACTTGCAACCAACGAACAACTGAGTGGCCAGATGCTCTCATCACACTGGTGTAAGCATGGGGTGGAGAGCGGGTAACCGCCCAAAAAGTGCCAAAACATGGCGTGAAACGGCCCAGTTCTTCAACGAGTAGTGGAGCCTCCTGGTTATTACTGGACGCCCATAGACAGTTCCACTAAAGAGCTTCTAGGAGGCGCCAATTTGGGAGATCGTGAGTAGGGCGCGTGTCTTGCATCGTGTGCATATTCTAAATATTTAACCACCTTGAAACGAAGAATAATCGCAAGAAACTGATTTCGTGAAGAATTGTACGTTTTATTCATTTTCTTTTTCATTACAGGCCACGCCTGCATGAAGACTTTGAGGGGCTACATGCAATAATGGTACGAAGTTGACTCGAGCCGGTTTTTATATTTTGGACCCCGCAGGTACAGATTGTAGTTGCGCAACTTTATTTTTGTCGACGTAATGTTTTAGGTAATCCCTCCCGTCAAGCTGAATAAAATGATAAACTTCGACCAGCACTGCAGGAAAAGATGGGGTCCCCTCCTGTATGGGGAAAGCACTCTTGCAGTTGTACTAATATTGCACATTGCCCGTCAATTGTTGATGAGATATCACTATTCAAAGCATCTACAGAATTGGTTCTTGTAGCCGCCGCATCTGTAGCGTTTGCTAACTTCGTTTTTGGAGCACACATATTGGCATCCCTGGGGATTATTCGGGCAACCCACATGGATACCTAGAAAGTGAGAGATCAGCATCAGTACTTACATCTTGTATACCTTCTTACAGATAAATCATGACACTTTCCAATTTCAGAATATGAGTGCATTGAAAAGGCAGTAACCGGCTAACACTTCAGGACCATTAAAAAAACCGAAATAAGCCTTTTCAGAAATTATTTTTGAAGACTTCTACTCAGCTTAAAGAAAACAAAATGCGGCGAGTCCCGATCGCCTGATTGTTGTTTCCCGTTTAACGAAATTGCGTATTTCCTGCGAAGCATCAAGCGGCGACATAAGAAGACACGCCCTGTGTTTCTTAATTAAAGACTAGAAAATCTATATATGGTTTGCCATAATTAAACTCACACGGAACAGAAGCGTTAAATATACACTTCACATTACACTCTGAAATAAAATAGATTGTGAGTTTACTTTTATGCAAAACACAAGGAAGGCCCATCACGGCAAATATTAAAGGATATATGAGTGAATGACGGACGCCGAGAAGGTTATTGGCATACAAAGAACGCATGTCCGCAGGGACCATGGGCAGATCGAACGCCGTGTCCATCGCCCCTGCACAAATTGCCTTCTCTCTGTAAACTAATAGCATTCCGAGTAACGCCGTACGCTCGAAGGCCTGTATCGTTCTACGTCATTGGCGGTCTCCGTGTTCTGCACGAGAGTAAACTCAAAGACGGCATTTCGCATATTGCTATAGGCACTGAGAGGTTAAGACACGCCGGATGTCGTTGATTATGTTGACGCTCAGTGCTTCCTGTTTTGTTTTCTGACGTGATTATCGGCCAGTGCCGTAGTTTGATTGGCTGTGAAGAGATGATAAGATGGTGGGAACTCCCCAAGCCCGGCGTTTCTGAAGCGTCAGTGGCTGGAGTATAGAATTCAGTTTCCAACGAGAAATCCATTTTGGAAAATAAACGTCCCTAACAAATCGGTGCCTTCAATTCTGTCTCGGTCTGTCCCTCAAATATGAAAGCTTGATCGCAGAAAGAGTGAGGGAGAGGAGGAGACGGGAGTGCGAGGGGACATCAGAATGCAGAGCTCTGATTGGAACGATTAGTGGGTAGACCTGAAGCTAGCTGCCTCTGTCTCCAGTGCACTCGTCGAATGCGTTAGGAGGCGGAACGCCGGCGTCCGTCGTTTGGATCTCGCTTTCGAACTCGTTCGACGAGTGCATTGGAGACAAAGGCAGCTTGTGTTAGGCCTACCTATTAATGATTCCAACCAGAGCTCGGCGTGCTGACGTCCCCACACGCTCTCGTCGCCTCCTCTCCCTCAGATTCGCGGAGCATTGATTCCATAGCTTTTGAAGTGAAACGAGAGCGTGAATAGGCAGATTTAACTGCTTTATTGTCTCTCTTCCAAGCGCGAAACCTTAAAAAAAAAAAAAATTAATGCATGCATAATGTCGAAAACTAAGTTATGTGCATGGGTCTGCTGTATAAACCACCAAATTATCCACTCGGTAAAGAAAAAAAACTTTAAACCTTAACGCCCTCTGAAAAACTTTATGCCAAGAATTACTACGGTTTGCGCGTATAAAAAAAAAATGGAGCACCTTCAACGTGCATGGTTTACGGTAGAAATACAAACAAAAATTATAATTAGATTTACGTCGCTCCTACACACGCGGAACCTACGTGCTTCCTTGATTAACAGCCAAGGTATATAGCTGTACGGTGCCTGTTCCTTGAGCATTCAACGACCATAGGGTGTCCTCGAACAGTGTTTTCACTTTTAAACACCGCACCTAGCACAACGTGGTCAACTCTACGTTTGTCGAATCTGCCAAAAGCCTCCCAGTCGCCTTCAAGTCTAGATTATCTACACACGTGGACTGAGCTTCCGCAGAGCGACGATGACCCTAGAGACTAAAGCCTAGAAGACATATGCCATCGAATCTTGAGGGGCATCACCAAGGGCCGATTTGTAATAATTTATTTCCTTTTAAACATTGCCTGTTTTGCGTTTAGAGTGCCACAATTGGGGTGCATGGTGAGCGAAGACCTTCGCGGCAGGATTAAAAGGGGTGTGTAACAATTTTCGAACTTCTGGTTGATAGGTGTGGGACTTAGTCCCTACCACCTGTCAAATATTTTAAAAAAAGATAGTTTTTTGATGCCTGCTATAGTTTGTTTTTATTTCAAAATAACAGTAGATTGAATAATGTGGCCGAGGCAGCCCACTCCGACCAGTTTTAACTTGTACACCGCCTTCCAGGTAATGTGGCTGTCAGGCGGTTGTGAAGTCCAATGAAGAGGAAAGTTTCCGGTCACGCTGAGAGCTTCTCCGGTTTCGCTGCAGGGAGTCTAAACTCTCTTCCCTTCCTTCTTTTTCATCCTCCAATGACCAAGATGGCGTATTGAAGTGATGGGTTGAGCGAGATCGAGCGTGAGACACACGTTTATAGCGAGTTCCCTGGACTCGTTCCCTACTCGGGCAACCCGACGAAACGGGAGCGAGGCGACAATGAGCGGGACAACTCCTTGAGAGGCAACCGAAACTATGAAACCACCTCGAGTCTCAAACGGACATCTTTCAATATCTTCCAAGCATCGCGAAGCACACTTCTTGCGCGAAAGTAGCTGAGATTGCCTTCGAAATAATCTGAGCATGACGCAGAGCACTACTATAGTCGGTTGCAAGCTAAGAAAAAACCGGAAATGCCTCTCAGAGGAAAATGTAATCCTACGCCGAGAAACGCCAGCCAACTGTTTTCATGACGTCACGATTCTGTGGACCAATCGCGATCCTTTTGAAAAAAAAAAGCTCAACATGGCTGCTGGCCTTAGCAACGCGATGCTATAGTTTCTCGTGACAATTATTCTGCTTTTTTGCACCGTGTTTTACGTGCCCGAGGTTACGCCACGAAATCTTGATGGTATCGGCTTGCGTTTGCAGCAGTTTTTGCGCGACAACGTGAGAATCCAGCGACGCTATCGCCAACCAAAATTTCGAAGCGGGCGCGAGGCTTAGCACTGCTGAGAGGTATGTTAGACGGTATGTTAGACAGTATCTTGGACAGAAAATAAATTGGGAAGACGGTACATTAGACATGAATTTCTTTCTTTCTTTACTAAACAGCTATTTCGTTGACAAAAACGTATTCTAACTTATTTAAATGTCCTGAATGAATTAAATAAATATTGTAGTAGTTTAAGACAGGTTTCCTGGAGGAAGAAAAAGCAACGTTGCTAGCGAACTACTTTCTCGACGGCGGAGGCACTTCAGATGGGCGCAATGCGCTTGTGGGTGGAGCTAAAAGATTGTCCTTAGGTTGCATCCGACTATAGTCCGGTGTCCATTGTTCCGATCCCCACTCCGCTCAGATCGGAGAAGTTGATCACGGAGTGCAATGTGATACCCGTTGATTCTTCCCCGATCCTGTAGGTGAAGGCTGCCCGAAGAACGTTTCGGACACAAAGCAACAACGTGCACCCGCTAGGCCTATATTGGCGACGTGCACTGCGGTGGAACGCAGTCAATCTAAAGACTAGAAAACGAAAGCAACAGAAGTGCAGGCATCTCCTTTGCTTGTTTCACACGCCAGGCACAGCCGCGGAGCAGAGATGGTTTTTTTGACCTGCGATGGATGACGCCTCACAAACTACGGGTAGTAAAATTGTGTGGATGATACGACACTTTCGACACATTTGTTTATGTCGACATGACAAGATTACTAACAATTAGTCTGATGTTAAGAAGGTGATTGCACAACTTGACATTGTATTACACGATACCCATTTGACTTCACGCCAACGTCACGCCAAAGTCACGCCGGTCGCTCCCTCTAGGTTCGATGACCGTGTGACTGCAGGCCGGAAAAACACAGTTTTAATATTTTCAAGTAGTTAGTGGAATAGCCATATTTCGGGGGAAGTAAAGTGTTTTATTTAACCTTGGAATACAGGTTAAAAATTATAGGCCCCGAATTCTTGATACGTTAATACCGTTGCATGGTCCCTTTAACTTCGGTTTTGATTTCCCATCCGGTCGATTTTCTACGTGAACGCTCGCTGTAATGGCTTGCACTGGTGTAATCGTTACTTCGTGAGGTGCGCCTGTATCCCACTGACACAGAGATTGCTCCGCGGCTTTTGTGGGTGCACGTTGACTTTTATGGCACACATTTTAAACTCACACACTATACATGCCCACTGTAATCTCTCTAATTAGTTATCTAGCAAAGAATCTGTAGGAATATTTGTTTTTGCGAGTAATTGAAATTTGTATTTACATGTGCATGTGTCATCGTCGCAAACGCCTTTATCGCTCGAATTGCCAACTTGAAGGCAGGACAGATGACAAGTAAGAGGATCTCCCGGGCAACCGGCAACCCCAAGCTGTTTGCTCCGCCCTGCAGAAGATCAATTTCAGTGATTGTCTTTAAAGGCGAAAGCCTTATATGCCACAGTACGCGAAAAAGTGTCGGTGTTGTGCCCAAAAGATGGGCATAAAAGTATGTCATAGAGCACGCGCCGCTCAAGGTCTAAACGGACGCGCCTCAGAAATAAAACACAAAGAAAAGCACAGCAACGCGGTTGCTTCGTCACGGAAGCTGTGAAGACGGCGGGGGCGGCGCGCCTGCGTGGTGGCGGAGCTTGATGTCGCCTACCGAAACATAAAATAAAGCGAAAACATTTCACCCGCGGGTGTTAAATGCTTTCGCATTCCTACATTTAAGTAGTTTAAGTGTCTTCAGCGTGTTATGTAGTGGCATCTGTGAGGAGGTAGCACCTCTACCCAGAAGTTTTTTTTTTTTTTATCATACGTACAAGGCGCTTGACCATTATATCTCTGATTTGTTTTTTTGTTTCCTGTTGAGGGATGTCAATTATTTGGCGGCTGACTTTTCCAGGTGCTTATGAGGCTTAGATAAGAAAAGATGAAAAGTGTCATTAAAGTTGAGTTAGAGGTGAACTCTAAAGTATTTTTGTCCCGTGAATCCGAATATCACATTCGTCCTTCCCGAAGATATAACTAAACGCAGATAACACGCAAGACATCCAACTAGTTGTTACGTCATACGAGAACACTGCGGCCACCAAGCGCGTGTCGCTCGTGTGGGCAGCGCCAAGTATATTTCCCCGCACTGGCAGCTGTCGTGACGTCTTTTTTGTTCCTCTTGTGAAGAGCAAGAGTGCGCGTGCATCGCTTTATAGGCGCTCAAGTTGCGCAAAACCGGAGATTCTGAAAACCCTTAATAGGACGTCACACTCCGGGAAGGACACTCGGACTTTAAAAATGATTTTCTGCAGCTTCCGTGCACACAATTGTAACATAATCTCGATATTCGTGATCCTGGAGGCCAAATGAAGACAATTTAAGGTTTCTCCTGAAACACAGAACAAATTGGCGTTTTAAGTGTTCAGTTTATAGGTAATGACGAAATTACAGTAATGACGACGGTTACAAATAGAGGCTAAGACGATTTAAACACTTTCTGAATGCTAGCGGGCTTTGAGATATTCATGAATCACTTTTTGTGTTTTTGGTAAATGATTTTAGGACTGGGCACAAAAATTATGGTCTCTAATAGCTTTTGGAAAAGTATAGTTCGAAGACTTTTGTTGAATTGCCTGTTTTGTAATGTGCTTTTAATGTGGCCTTCCGGGTGTATACCCTTTTGAAACTATTGCAATAAGCTCTAGAGCAGGGGCGGCCAAGCTGCGGCTCTTCACGTGTTACCCCCCCCCCCCCTCTTCCACTTCCTCGCCTCCCTCCCGGTCATAGGAATACTTCCCCAAGTAGAGGAATGGAACGCGTTTTGATATCGAAAGACAGCTTGCGGTTTGTTAGTCTTGTGCAACTGCTACCTTACGTACAGTTGGACCGCTTTTGCCTCGGACAAATTAGAAGTAGTCCGAGATTTTTTTTAGCCCTAAACAAAAGTTTGCCCCCCCCCCCCCCCCCCCCCCCCGCCGCTCTTAGAAGTTTCGTGGTTCTGTTTGCGGCTCTTAGGCCGGGTCAGCCTGGCCACTCCTGGTCTAGCGAGTCCTAAAATGTAAAAGCAAAATCATAGCAACAAATAAAAAAAAATATAAATATTAACTTCAAAACTTTAACACTCACAAGATTGACTGGAGCAGTAGCTTACAAATCCTGCAATATTTGAAGTAGTGCATTTTTATGTCATTTTCAAGTGGCAGTGTTTTTTATTATCATTGCAAAGTTTGTGTGCAACTTACCACTGACGAGAACCAACATTGCGAGTACAGATGCCTTCATGGTGAATCAGGAAGTACAATAATCTGACTGCAATTGGAAACAGGACGAGTTGATTTTGTATGTCTCTAAACTATCGTTGTTAAAGTTAAAATTGCAAAAGATGCAAAAATCGCTCATTACACTCCTCCGCAGTATATATTTATTTCCGGGTACCTCGCAGCGCCCCATACGTTAATGCAGGGGGAGGATGAATAGAGCCTCCCAAAATCGTCACATAATTTTCATATACATAAGATAAAGCACGAATTAGCAAAAACACATTGCGCCAGCCGTGCTAATTCACCGCAAGGTAAAAACACAGACACACAAAACGCAAGTTGTTTATCGGTTCAAGCTTCAGAAAAAGTTATCCTATGGACAATGGGGCCGAATCTATCAACCACCTCCCTTTCATCACCCGCCCTTTGCGCGTGGGGAGAGAGCCTAGATTGTAGAGAGTGTCCATCACAAATCATTGAAAGCAATTTAATGGCGGACGCCTCCTGCGGAGGGCGGTCGAAAGCTGAGCATGCGCAAAAGTTATATAAAAAAAAAAAAAAAAAAACTGGTTCCTGCGCATGCGCGGGCACCCACTAATCTAATGGGTAAACACGCCTGTTTCTAAACGATGAGTTTGGTGCGAGGGAGTCGAATTTTAATTAATGATGGGTTGTCAATAATTTATTCGCGCTTCGTCTCGTCAAACACAAAGTTTGAGCCGAAAGTTCGCTGAGCACGCCGTTTGAATTTGAGCGGAAAAAGCGGGGCGTCATTGTCGTAAGAATCCAGTCGGCGCGCTTCGTAAACTTCGGCTAGGGCTCCTGATAAACAAAGATTCCAGAATTACACCGCGTTTGCTCTTCCTATAGAAAAATTTTAATAGAGAATATACGAACAAAGAAATAATAATAATCATAAGGCCTGGGTTTATGCTGGGTGTAAATTACGGAGGAATAACACGAAGCTAGCTCACAAACGTTTATATTTTTCTCAACTACTTAACACACAACATAGTGTGGGAGAGTAATGTGCCAACCCCGCGGCCTCTTTTTTTTTTTTTCCCCTGCGGTGGTGAATATATATATATATATATATATTTTTTAATCTAAAGAAGATGATGAGATATACATCCCTAAAGCCGGGGTGACACCACTTGTTCATCATACAAAAGCCTCCTGCATACAGATTCGAACACGAGTCACAGCAAGATTCGTGCTTCGAATGCCGCATGGCAATGAGTTCAAGGAGATAACTTGGCACGCGGCATTCGAAGCACGGATATTGCCGTGACTCGTGTCTGCAGTCTGTTTTTGGTATCATGTATGAGCAGTGACCCAGGCTTAAAAGGTTCGGGTATTAAATAATATCTTCTCGGAAACAAACAGACAACCACTGAGGAGAACAGGGATTAAAAAACACGTAGTAACAAAATGGTTACCTAAAATTGACTAGTTATTGAAAGCTGGGTGAGCGTCATTAAAACTACCTATATAAAGTCAATTTTAGGACGGCTTGGAGCACTTGGAAGGAGCGGGGCTGCTCTAAAGGTACCATACGTGCAGCAGGCGCAAGGACAGATACGCAAAATCGTTATCCGCGCTTTCACATCGCCGGCCTTCCGGGGTTTTTTTTTTTTATACTAATAAGTATGTTTTTCGCAACCCCTGACGTCCGCCGCTGACAGCGCGTAATCTCGAAAAATTGTATACAGCGCAACTGTATTCCTATACCAGCCAAGGAAATTTTTGTGTCGTCTTTGTAAAGCAAAGAACTCCCCGCGAACAACTGAAGGCATAACAGCATATCTCCTTTTGAAATCATGGCGTACAGCATACTGCTCAGTATCCGTTTCAATAAATAAAACCACTAAACAAGCATCAAAATCACATGATGCATGATCAGGCACCTGTGGCCAGTAGGGACATCCTTCCATGCGTTCCGGTAAAGAACTGTAAAGATTAGGTTTGCAGCGGCTTCGAAAGGGGTTGACGTCATTCGAAGCTCCCATGTGAAGTGCGAACCGCATATTGGATGATCACGGCGCCTGCTGCCGCGGCGACGGCAGCTTAGACGTGGGGAGGGACGTCACCAGCCTTTCATATATAAAAGAAGAACCATCCTATACCCCGTGCGACCTTACGTCCGGACGCAGCGAATGCTGCGAGCTATCTTAACTGTTATGTTCAACGTTATATATGCCAGAAAATACATAGAAAAAGGGCGCGGTGCGTCTGGCTCCGGGCCGCTCCAAGCCTCAAGTGTTCGGTGTTCTCACAAGCGCCAATCCCCCGAGGAGCACGTTCTGCGAAGCCAGCAGATGTTATTTTTGCATCATAGGATGAAAACAACCTTGAACGCAACCCGAGCTGCACCAGCTGTGTGTGCGCTCGTCCGTTCTCCGCGTTCTCGTTCTTTGGATGCGTGTTGGCATAAGCCCTAAAACACGGTGTACCCTAAACACAGGCACATCACTCATAGAAAATGAGGATGAACCTCGGCCACCCGGAGATGTACTCATCTTGGCACGCAACTCGGTTCCGCAACCGTCATTGCAGCGAATCGCAGAACTTACTCAACAGGACCCAGTGCTGTCGCAGATATACAAGGCTGTCCAACAAGGTACACTCCATAAGTTAAAAAGGGATAAATTTATCCCCTACTCTAGGATATTCACGGAATTATCAACAAACAGGGTTGCCTAATTCGTGGTTCTAGGGTCATCATCCCCAGAGCAGCACAACCAGACACTTTGACGCTTGCGCATGCCGGCCACAGAGGCCTTGTTGCTATGAAAGCATGCGCTCGCGGGTACTTCTGGTGGCCCGGACTGGACAAAGACCTCGAATACACGGCAAACACGTGCACCCTATGTCAACAACACCAGCGAGCACCACCCAGCGCAACTTCTCCGGAGTGGCATCGAGCAACAGGACCCTGGGAAGTACTTCACCTGGACTTCGCTGGACCACTCGAAGGAAGGATGTTGTTGATTGTGGTTGACTCCTACAGCGAGTGGCTCGAAGTACGCCAAATGACGAACATACAGTCGTCGTCATTAATTCAAGAACTGCGAAATATCTATGCAACCTTTGGAGTGCCACAGAAGGTCGTAACGGACAACGCGACTTCTTTCGTTTCTCAGGAAACTCAGCAGCTCTTTAAGAACAACGGGATTAAACACGTCACCAGCGCCCCGAACCATCCAGGTAGGAACGGTCAAGCATAGAGGATGGTGGACGAGACGAAACAAGCACTGACCAAAAATCAGGCTGAAACGCTGCAATGCAGGCTGTCACGGTTCCTGCTAAAGCAGCATACCACGGACAGTTCAGTAACGAACAAGACCCCAGCAATGTTGATGTTTTGCCGTGAACTGCAGACCGCCATAACTCGCTTGAAGCCAAGTGACCAGCAAGGTGAAAAGCTTAAGGAACATTCGGAGAGTTCACGAGGCATTGCAATTGACCGTACTGTCTTCGTGAGAAACTTTTCAGGGAAACCATCCTGGATACCTGGAATCGTTACAGAAAGGCTTGGTAATCGTTCATGGCTTGTAAAGACGAACGGCGGAATACTGAGGCGCCACACTGACTACATGCGAAAAAGTGAAGCGGCGATACCCGAAGAGGATTGCTGCCTGCCGTCTACATCCGCAGAATCTTTGGTCATTCCAATGACAGACGAGACAACACAACCCTGCACCAGCAGTACAGCAACTGACGACAACACAGCAGGGCCACCTGCGACACGTTTGACACCCAGACCGCAACGACACACGCGACCCCCGGATCGGTATGGAGCAGCACAACCCGAGAAGCCGTCTAAAGAAGAGGCAAGGTGTTGTGTCTGTGAGTGATGTACCTGTGTTGAGGGCTTATGCCAACGCGCATCCCAAGAACGAAAACGCGGAGAACGGACGAGAGCGCTCACAGCTGGTGCAGCTCGGGTTACGTTCAAGATTGTTTTCTCCCTATGATGCAAAAAGAACATCCGCTGGCTTCGGAGAACATGCTCCTTGAGGGATCGGCGCTCGTGAGAGCACTGAACACTTGAGGTTTGGAGCGGCCCGGAGCCAGACGCATGGGGCGCCCTTTTTCTATGTATTTTCTGACAAATATAATATTGCGCGAATTTATGTATGTTCACCGACAACGTAGCGTTGAACATAACATAAACCAATCCCGTTCTGTGGACGTGGCCAGTGATACGATTTCCGAGCGTCGTTGTGCCATCTCTCGTAAGGTCACGTGAAACTTACACGGCCTCCGATGGCTCGTAACATCCGCTGCCCTTAAACGTAAGATGAAACGCAGTATAGCAACCGATTTCATTGTTGCTGCAGCACCGCGATGAATACGCCACGCAGAGTTAGGACTCCCGAGGAGCAGCGTGAATACTAGGAGCGTCAAAGGGAAAGAAACGGCAATACGACCAGCAGCGGCGGGCTGCGACCGGCGGCGGCATTTCGTATAGTGCAGTAGGCAATCGTTGCAGGTGGAACTACAGCTTCGCTGACCAACCACCTTCACAGCGTGGATTGGAGCCCCAACTTCTTTTCCTGTTTTTTCCCGGGTCACCTTAAGTGTGGGAAATTTTGAAAGTTTTGACTGCGGCTATATGCTCGGTTCCGTCTGATAGGCTGCCATTAAAAGTACTCTGTCGAAGCTCAGTTGTCTGAGGCGCCAGCTTGGGGCCCGTAACGTTTTGTGTACTCGTAATCACTACTTTGTATTAATAAAAAAAATATACGCCGCTGTTCTGTTTCTCACTAGCAGTGTCTTGAAGTGCACGTGTTTATTCTACATGAGCGTCGGTGTTTTCGTGGCCTATGTTTTGAGACCAGATATAACGGAATAACGCTACTAATAGAATAACAACACATAACTATTGGCGAGGAGATGGAACTACAGAGGGCGCTCTGACCCGTCTGTTGTCCCCACACTTTGGCGTTTACCCAACACAAGGTGTGTGGACTGACCCACAGACCTTGGGGCGTGTTCACGTCATAATGTTTACGTTATCTTCTTCAGTAGAGCGCAAAGCACAGT